TTCTTCCCTTCCTCTCTTTCTTCCTTTCTCTTTTCTCTTCTCTTTTCCTCCCACCCATCTGCTCTGATCTAACGCTTGGTGCATTGCTCAGAATGAATAATAAATTGTTTGAAACCTTGGTAGAAATTACGTTTCTGGGGGGAAAATAGACTTTGTATGGGCTGCATGACAGTGCCTGGCTGCCATCCAGGCTCCGAACCCTCCTGGAGGGATTACAGCTGCGGAGGAAACGGATTAGTAAACTGCAAAGAGAAAATAAAAAACCATAAAACAACCAAAAACCCCACAAAACTGCTGGTGCTAGAAAAACCCCTGCCACAGCTCGCGTGGAAAAGCAGAGGGACGCCGAGGGGGGAGAGGTAACTCCTCACTCAGAAGGTGCAGAAAGGGCTCTGCTGTGATCTCAGCCGGAATTTTTGAGCAGACGATCCCGTGAAAGGCAAACCCCCCCTGCCAAGCCGGTTCCCGGTGGGATGGTGTGGCCGGGCAGCGCTCGGGGACAGGGTTAAACTTTGCCGGGCACGCGGAGCCTCGCACCCCCGGCGGCTCATTAACATGACGCTGTCATAGGACTGCAGCACTGCAGTCAGGCACAGCCCGGGTTTATCCCGGGATTGCTCCGAGCACGGGCAGCCCCAGCCCTGCCTCGGCTCCCACATCGTCCCCACAGCACAGGGGCTTTGTGCTAATGAAGCAATCACGGATTCAAAACCTGCCTCGTTCATTTTGCTGAAAGTTTTTGCCATAGGCACAAACCCCTTTGGATTTCATTGGGAGTCAAAATAAAATTACTGCCTGTCAGGGCATTGCATTTTGTTTCTTTTTAGGGTGAAAGATATGTTATGATCTGGTTTATTAATGGGGTTTTCCCCCCTGATAATAGAGATTGGGAGGGGGAACAGGTCATGGTTTAACCCATAAGGAAAACTCACTGCATAAGGAAACACAGAGTTAACAGAGGTGCTGGGGAGCTTTTATTATCCTTTTAATCTCCTGACAACAAGGACTGGCAGATGGAACTTTGTAATAAAACTCCCTCTCATTAAATACCTTGGTGTTTGAAATCCATTTACCCTGTATGCAAAATAAATTGTTGCTTTCTAATCAGGCAGGGCTAGGTTTGATTTATTTATTTAATAGTGATACCAAGCAATGCAAACTTTTATGGAACACAATACATCCCATGTATATAGGGATTGCCTTAAAAATCAGGATATTTAGAAGGGGAAAAGTTGGCATTCACGGAGGTGTTTAGTGCAGAAATTCTGAAATAAAATTCATTGTTTTAATTGAAAACAGAGCCTTGCAATGTGAATTTCTGCTCTCTAATCAGATGCAGGGGGACAGAGCTCCTGCTACATTATCCTGAAGGTGGTTTGAAGGTTAAAATGAGTCAGGGAAATCAGTGTGAGATGTTCCCTCTTTTCTGATGAGTAATTAATCCCTTTTCCCTTTCTGTCTGGAGATATTGAAATGCAGGCTGATATTTCTGCTGAAGGAGAATTGTTTTTGCCTCAAAGTTGACCAAAGCAGAGCAAAGCTGATGTCTCAGGATTGAGGCAGGAGGAGGGAAGGGGCACTCCCATGCAAAGGGAAAGCAGCAGCATCGATTTTAATCTTGGTTGTCCACTACTGACAACCTGCAGTGAGGGGAGGGGGACACTGAGTCCTGCAGCTTCCTTAAAAAATCAGAGAAAAACAAAGAAGATACAGAAAGTGGAGTAGCACAGCAGCCTGGCTGCTGCCAGGGAAAGATCAAAATACATCCAATGATAATGAATTCATTTGAATATATTAAGAAAGTATTGAATCAGATGGGTGGAATAAAAGGGGGGGTTGGGTGGGGTTTTTTATGTTGGAGAGCGGCAGCAGAATGAAGGCACTGTGCAGGTAATGCAACGTGGCTGGAACTACTACAGAATATTTGTGATAATTAATATTGGGAGATTAAGATTGTAATAATTAAAGGGGATTTGTCTTGATAAATTTTTAATATAAAGCCTGGTTTAAGCAATTCAAGCCTAAATAGATCTTAATGACAACCATGTAAGGAGGGCAAACAGCGACATCAGATGGAATTTTGACAGAGAGGAAAAGGAGTTAGGAAATCAGGATTTGGTCCATTTTGATGTTCCCCACCAGGCAGTGATGGGACTGGCCAAAGTGCAGGATTTACGCCCATTTAGGGTGTAAATTTACACCCATTTCCAGCCCTGGAGCCCCTGGTGTGCTGTGGGGTCACCCCAAACTCACCATCAATAACATCAGGACATCAGCAGGAAATTGGTCTCGTTCCAGCTGAGCCAGGAGAGCAAGGACAGACATTTGAGCCCAGCTGAGGATGTGGCCTGGGATATTTAAATAGCCACAGCCAGGGAGGAAAAAATGGGATTTATGGCCTAAGGGCCTGGTCCTGGACTGCTGGAT